ATGGGCTGGGGGGGTTTGCAAACCCATTGTATTACCTGGCCATGGAAATAATGCACGGCATGGTTTCGGATGGAGGAATATACCTGTAGCCGCCCCTCTCCGACTAATGAGTGGCCCCGCTCCATATAATGCCATACACGATTTCTAATCGAGGGCTCTGCAAGCTGGGCGAGCAAAAGCGTGACCGTGTACGTGCCCACCCATCCCCTGCATGCACGTTTTAACGTGCATTTGGGTTTTTTAAATTAAAAAAAAAAGCCATGACATTTTCTCCCTATCCAGGAATGTGTCAAAACACTTTAGGTTTAGGCAAAGCCACCTTTTTTGCATTTTTCACCGTGCCATTTCCCACGGCTGGGCAGGGGGCACCGGCTCTGCCCCAGCTCTGCCGGCCACCCTAGATCGGCCAGGACTGCGCTGGCAGAGCAGCAGGCATGGAGCCGGCCGGGGAGCGTGTCCCTCTGCACTAAACATGCTGCAAAGGAGCCGGTTTTGTTAATTCCGTGCACTGGGACGAGGAATCACTCATCGCAGCGGTGCCTATGTGGGGACTCTCATGCTCTGGTTTCTCCTGGCTGTCTCTATTCCTCCCCTCCAACCTTGCAATGCTCACAGTTTGTCTGAGAAAACACCGTCTTTCTCCTGGATTGTCCTTTATTCAGGTTAAAAGCATCGCGCTGTACTCGGGGACGGCTGGCTCAGCCGCAGCGGAGGATGGACTGGCTGCAAAGAGACTCTAATGGCCTCAGTGCTGTGCTCTGGGTAGCTTTCCTTTTTAAAAGACGCGATGGGAAGAAAAAGCCATTGCTTCAGCCCCATCGGCTCACAAACACTGTTTGCAGCCCAGCTGGATATTTTAACTGCGAGGGCTTCTAATTCCACAGGAAATCTTTTGAAGTACAAGTCAGTCTTTGCAAATGAGTATCTTTGACTTTCTTGGGGGTTTCTGTTTGGGGTGGGGTGGGGTGCGGGGGTTGGTTTCGTACATGTTTAATATCCTGGGCATGGTCCCTGCAGCGCCGCGTCCTGGGAGCACGATGCCTCTGCTCCGGGGGGAGGGCAGCTGCTGCGGCCACGCTCCTGTGTACAGTTCTCACCGGGG